AGGTGGCCTGAGGGCTCTGCTGAGACATCAGGACCCCTGGCAAGGGAGACAGCACCACTTTGCACAGGACCAAGGTCTGCTCTGTGAGTCCCTCCACCCCGTTTTCAGCACTAGGTCCCACCACCCAGTGGCAGAGGCTAGGGTCAAACAGTGGGATGGGCTAAAGGCCAAGTAGACAGTGATGGTGCAGCTGTCCTTTTTAACCTAAGTGATTCTGAAAGTGTCTGCTCCCTGTCACACTTGCACAGTGCCTCCAACTCAGCCAGTCTCAGGGTCCCCAGCCAAGTCTTCAGCCACCATTGACTTTCTGATAAAATTCAACTTTTTGTGGAAAAATACTTTCAGACTGTTCAATGAGTGACCCTCTGTGGGTGCCTTATAAATCTTTCAAGTTCCTTTCCTCCCCCTACATGTTTGTTTGTTTGTTTGTTTGTTTGTTTTTTTTAAATTTCAGTCTTGATCAAAGGCATCATCTTGCTTATGCCCAAACCGGAAATTTGTCAGTCTCTGTCTTTTCCAAGTCCACTTCCAATCTCTTCCAAAAGCTTTATAGCCTCTGGTCCCTCCTCTGTAAGGTGCCTCACATCTTTCTCCATCACATCTTAGTCTCCAGCCCTCTCACGGCTCCCATAGATTACTACGTGTGTTCTTGACTGCTGTGTGGCAAGACAGCCCCAAGCTCTGTGGCCCCAAATGACAAATAATCATCTCTCACCTTCTGTAGGTCAGGAACAGTGAAGTATCTGGCTGGGTAACTGTGGCTTAGAGTGCTTCATGAGGTCGCAGTGAACATTACAGCTGGGACTGCAGCCATCTGGAGGCTGAGGATCGCCTCGGAGGACAGTCCACCCACATAGCTGATGCAACAGTTTGGCTCTTCACTTAGTGGGTAGAATGACAAGGAAGTGCATTCCCGGGGTGTTTTGGGAGAGGCCATGGTTGGAGGGAGTCCCCACCTCTGCATACACGTGACATAGACTTCCACTTAGATGGCTTACGCTTGGGTGCCAGCTCACCTCTTGTTAATGCAGTGACCTGGACCAAATTATTCAATTCCTCTAAGCCTCAGCTTCATCACCCGGAACTGGGATAATAGTAACACTTGCCTCATGGTGTTATGAAGAAGATTTAATAAAATTAAAGTGCTGGCCAGCATATCTGGCTTATATTAAGGGCTTAAAGTATAGATGGAAGTGTACGGGTCACTAATGGACATGGCGACAGCACTTTGACCGCACGGTGACATTGTCTCCCTTTTGGGTTCTCGGCTCCTAGAGCTGTACTGTCTGACACAGCAGCCCGTGGCCACAGGCAGCCACTGCATGCTCACCATGTGGACAGGCCGAACTGAGGCGTGCCGTGAGTGCACAGCACGCAGACTGCAAAGGCCTAGAACAAGAGTGTGAAAATGGCAACAGAATTCGTCCCGATCGATGCTGCAATGTTATATACAGAGAGAGAGCAGTCTTTTTGGAAGACAAAGCTGCTGTCTCAGTTACTCTTCTCTCATTGCTGGGGCAAATACCCGACACCCAAAATGAAGGAAGGAAAGGTTTATTTAGCTCACAGTCACTGGAGGGTTCAGTACTCGGCTGGCTCCAAGGCAGAGCGGCACAGGGCAGCAAAGAGCAGAAAGCAAAATGAGGGGCAGCAGCAACAATGGCAACAGAGAGCAAGTGTGTCTCTCTTGGGTTACATTCAGGCTCTCTGCCCCAGGCTAGGTGTAGCACTCACACCCATAATCCCAACAGTAGTCAGACCCATAATCCCATACTTGGATCATGAATTAATCATGAACTCTAGAAGTCTACCCCATGACTGCATGAGGCTTTGAGGTGACAAGTAGGCACAAGCCATAATAGTTGCAAAGCTATTAAATGAAGCAGTAACTTGTTAGTGGATTTTCTTTCTCTGCATAGCATAAGCTCCACCTCCTCCTCCATTGCGCTCCCACCACACTCTGTGTTGATTTTGCCTGGCGAGATAAAATGACACATTTCACACGAGTGATCCTCATGAGCCACCACCCATTGGTGGGGGTGGGGTAACAATAATGGGATGTGGGGCTAATAGTTCCTCACCTTTAGGCAGGGCCTAAGGAAACTTGATTACAGATTAGCCAATAGAAAATAAATGATCAGCAGGCAGAAAAAACAATTTTTCTTATTTTTAAAACTCTCTTCATAGTGATGCTTAATATAAAATTGAAGGTAAGAAAGAGAAAAATTACATGTGGCAAGTGTCACTGTCAGACAACTCTGTATGTACGCTCTGCCCCTTCTTTGCTGACAAAATCCTCAATGTTGCTTCAAGCTACAATGTGCGTATTCAAAACACAAGTGATCAGAGGCAGGCCTATGGTGCAGTTCCAACAAGAGAAATACAGAGTGTCACAGTAAATTTTTTAGGAAACCCTTTTCTGGATTTCGAAAAGGAGGAAGGAGATAATTCAGATGGTATACACCTTCTGGGGGGTTCTGTACCCCCTTTCTTGTCTGGAGTGTCAACATGCTACTGCAAAGGTGGAAGCACAACCTCAAGACTCTGAGGGTGATGGCCACACCCACAGACAGGCCCGGAGGCCCCAAAGAACCTGCATGCTTGGTGTCCTCCTTGGTCCGTGGCCCAGGCCTGGCCTACCTCCAGACTCATTACACAAGCCACATAGCCCCACTGATTGCGTTCACGCTCAGGTTTTCTGTTTTACACAGCTAAATACAATATTATTTGACACTTGGAGTCTTCACAAAACACAAACGTTCACAATTTGGCCCCAAAACTCTATCCTCAGGACATTCTTAGGTCCAAGGAAATATTAGCATATGATTACCTGACTCATGCAGTAGGAATAAGTGTGAACTATTTGGCCAGGGATTTTATGATCCAGCACATGAAACTGTTATTGAAGATGCGTGTGCCATATAGAGGTACAGCCACACATCCAAGTGTACATCTATACCTCTACCTATGCACCTAGATACACAGATATATCTCCTAGTGAACAGAATTTTGTCTTATTCCCTGGCCTGAACAAAGGGCAGTGCCCTTCCTTTTAAATCTTCCTCCTCCTCCTGTGGATATTCATAAGATATTTTGCCACCACTCAGAGGTTGCATCAAGAAAATCATCCTTCAAGATACCTGGATCTAATCCTGGCTCTGCTAAATACATGGTTTTGTGACACTGAAACATTCCTTTGAATGAAAGCTTGTGAACAAGCTCACTCTAGCACACAGAGAAGACAGGAGAGAACACCCAAATCCCATCCACTGGGCCATGAGATGTGAAGTCCCCAGAACTTAATAGCATTCCAGACAAATGGAAACCTCTTATATAGATCCAGTGGAATACTGATCTGCTTAGAGGTCAGAAATCAATACACACAGGAACTTGAAAAGTGACCTGCACTTGGAGAAACATAACAGTGCTTTAGGAATGACCTAGCACCAGTTATTTAACTACTACAGGAACTATTTTCCTTATCTATAGAAATGGTAATCTACAGAAGTAGTAGTAATGTTAGACATTACTATGGTAATATACTCTGCAATGTAAAGTTGCTAAGAGAAGTATATTTTATGCAGTATTTTCCAGTTTTGATCATTAAATTCTCTTGCAGTGGCTTAGCTTAGTATTCTAAATCATATTCTTCCTCTCCTCTTCTCTCTCTGTCTCTGTGTATCTCTGCCTCTCTCTCTGCCTCTCTCTCTCTGCCTCTCTTTGCCTCTGTCTCTCTGCCTCTCCCTCCCTCTCTATTTGTTTTTCTCTCTGTGTGTATCTCTCTCTCTCTCTCTCTCTCTCTCTCATTCTTGGGGATTGAGCCCAGGGCGTATCAGCCAGGTTTCTTGTTGCTGAGATGCAACAGCAAATACCCACAGTTTTAAGGAGGCAAAGTTTAGTTTGGCTCATGATTTGAGGGGATTCCATTCATAGCAAGCTGTCACCAAGGTAGAAACAACACAGCCAAGTGCAGGGCAGAGCAAAACTGCATCTTAGGTCACAGCAGTCAGGAAGCAGAGCAGAAGAAGAACCAGAAAGCAGCAAGCTGGGAGCCATGCAGAGTGTCTAAGGCACACTTCCATGAGCAACCCAGGTGTACCCAGGAGTGTGCTTACCTCGTCTGTAGGCTCTTTTGATCCAGCAAAGTTGGAAAACCACATCAGGGTTAATGGACACAGTCACCTAGACTAGGATTGAACTGTCAAACCTCCTGCCTCAGCCTGCTAGAGTGCTGGGATTAAACGGTAACCTTACCACATCTGATCTCAGTTTTTGCATTTTTATTTTTATTTTTTATCTTTTGGCCGGCTCAGGCCTGCCTGAGGGTGAGGCTGGTGCAGCATGTGGTGCCAGGGATTGAACCGAGGTTTCTTGTGCCTGCCTAAGCTTGCCTAAGCAGACGCTTTAGATCCCTGAGCTATATCGCCAGCCCAATAATTTTTTTTTAGTTTTGCATTTTTAAATGTGCCTGTTAACCCATCACTCAGGAAGCTAAGACAGGAGGACTGTTGTGAGTTTGAGGCCAGCATGAACTACAAAGTGAGTTCAAGTCCAGCCTGAGCTACATAGCAAGACCCTTTCTCAAAAAGACAAATATATATGTGTGTGTGTATGTGTGTGTGTGTGTGTGTGTGTGTATTATCTAGGTTAAAGTAAAAAAGTTTTTATAAAGTGTTTATAAAATTGTAAGTCATAAAGAAATCTAAAAACTTCCTTTATGGAATCCCCACCCTCCCCCAACCACCACCAATTTGGCTTAAAAATTTATCACTGTGTATTGACCAATTCCTGCTTAGGAAACAAAAACTGTATGATTCAAGACCAAGGCTTAAACCCTAGCTGCTTCTTCATGGAAACATAAAGCCAAGATTCAGACCAGGTAAGTGCTTCCGGTCCTATTTTCTCACAGCGGAGAAACTGATGGGGCCGCAGCCCGCGCCAGCGAGGCTCCGGGCGGCCCGCTCGCCCTCCTGACGCGCGTGTTTCCTTCCGCTGCGCAGGGCTCGCCCTTTCCTGCCCATCATTGCCAAAGCCCAGACGAGCCAGCTGGAGGACAGGCTGAGCCTCCAGGAGCGCACCATCGCGTTCCTGCTCGAGCAAGCCTTCCGCATCAAGGAGGACATCTCTGCGTGCCTCCAGGGGGCCCACGGCTTTCGGAAGGAGGAGTCGCTTGCCAGGAAGCTGCTAGAAAGCCACATCCAGACCATCACCAGCATCGTCAAAAAACTCAGCCAAAACATTGAGGTACTTCCTGTTTCCAATACGTGGGCATCCTGGCTTGACCAAGATTATCCACGCCCGAAGTCACCGTTCAGCTCTAGGAATCTCGGTTATTGCTGCATGTAGATGCGTTTAATCCAGCTGCTCCCAAGGGAAACTGTTCAGTTTCTTGTCTAGCTTATGACAAGAAGCACAAGAAACTTGTATTAAAAATATGTATTGTACATCTATCTTATGACAGTGAGGATAACTTTAACGTTACATCAGCCCCGGTGCCAAGGTGCCCGTGTTATTCTAAATCGCCAAGACTAGCAATGTAATAATTTCAGGCAAAGGTTTTCACAGAGCTTCGAAGCGCTGGCTCAGGGCCCTCCACAGCCTGCGCCATCGATCTCTGACCCATCTCCACCCCTTCCTCCAGCCACGAGGACTTGCCAGCAGTCCTAGCTACTACTCTGACTAGATCATCTCTCTCTTGCTGTTCCTATGACATGCCCCTCGTTTCCTCAGGTTTGTGCTCAAGTACCACCTTTTCAGAGAGGATGCCTCCTATCCCCTGCAAAATAACACCTTCTCTCTCTTCAAGGGAGTTTCAGTCTTCCTTCAATTCTTTTTAACCTCAAAACTTATCATGATGTATGAGAATCTGTACTTGTCTATTGTTTGTTTTTCCCTTCTAAAATATACTCTGCATAAGGCATCGCCTTTGACTCACTATAGAGCACCACACCAGATAATAACTGTGTATGCTACATAGTCAGTACTGTGTTAATATATATATATATTTTTGTTTGTTTGTTTGTTTGTTTGTTTGTTTTGTTTTTTCAGAACCAAGGATTGAACTCAGGCCCTTGCGCTTGCCAGGCAAGCATTTATTCTACTGAGCTATCTCCCTGGCGCCGATAATATTTCTTTTTTTATCTTTTAAAAAAGTTATTCATTTATTTGGCACAGGGTCTCAGTATGCAGCTCTGACTCATAAAGATCCTCCTGTCTCAGCCTCCCCACTGCTAAGATTACAGATGTCCACCACCACTCCTGGTTTTATGGAGTGCCTGGGGTACCAGGCCAGCACAGCATGTGGTACTGGGGATTGAACCCAGGTCTTTGTGCTTGCTAGGCAGGCTCGTAGACCACCGAGCCATCTCCCCAGCCCAATATTTCTTGAAGTAGGTGGTCTTGAAATAAAAATGAACTTTTTGATATAAAAAAAGAAAATTCTTAGGCTATATCTAGATAAACACATTTTAATTACAGTTCTCTAACTTTTTGGAATGTATATGCAATTCTGCCTCAGCTAACAGTTCTCAGAAAGTGTTTTAGATGATAACACTAGGAAACTGGCCAAAAACTTGCTCAGCAATGAAAAGTGATGCCCTTCTACAATATTTAACCTTCTTCACTAGTGTACCAGATTGACTAAAAATGAAAACAAACCAGAAAAGTAAACACCAACAAGGGGATTGAGCCAGCAATGACTTGTTCATTAATTTGAATTTAAGGTCAAGGATATTTATGAATCGATTTTCTAGATGTGTGGGGTGTAGCAAATTCTAAAATGTAGTTGGGAGAATGCAGAAAGTAAAAGCCCTTAATGAACTTTTCCAACAGTACCTTACTAGTATCTAGCATGTATTCAGTGTGATCAAGGTATTTTTCAGGCATAACAAAATATTATCATGAGGGTGTCAAGAGATAAACAGCTCCCCAGGGGCAAGCCATAGAGTTATAGGTGGCAATGGCAATGATCTTGAGAGTCTTCAGAAGATTTTT